TATTTAGCAAAATAGTAGTAATAATAAACGCAGCAGAAAAGACGCCAAGAAACATGGCTGAAAGAAGGATGGAAATGAAACTGTATTCGCTTGCATTCACGATATATACATACAGAATATTCCTTGTCCAGCAGTCAATGTACAAAGGAAGGCCACACCACCGTGTCCCCTTTTTAATGAGCAACATTCAGAATTTACCTCGGATGGTAATTATTTGTTTCCCTGGTGGTGCGAAAGTTCAAGTTATTTTTTTTTTTTTTTGGCGTCCAAGCCCCCTGATTGTAAGTGCAGTCGTGAGCCGCAGCATACTGAAGATGGAACGCCGCAATTGTAGACGACTAACCAGGCAATTAAGCTTGACACCACCCACGCAACGACGGGCCAGTGACACGCTAGGAAAAATTCACAATATCTGCAACTGGGCAAGGTCGTGATCAATGCAAAAAGGTACGCTGGCAAGAAAACCGTGGTCTGCATTTTTCGGGAATCATCAGCCGATATTTTAACACCATTTTCAAAGCATACAGTTCCTAGAAGGAATATTCCTGGAAGGGTTTTGTATTTATGCATTGAAAATAACTCAAACTGCGCATGAGAGAGCAGTGGTTTTCTCAACGGATGTTATTTGTTAAACTTCGATATAATAAACTTGGTTATAATGAAATTCTGCATACATAAAGAAGTATCTCGCTTTTCTCATAGTTTTACCTATAGATTACATTGTACCTTTCACTTTCATAAATGGTGTGTTTATTCGTGATTGAAAAGTAACACTTTTAGTACTATAGTCCTGCATAAAGATAGCGAAGACCGAGGTAGTTGACTGGAACTTCTGCTGCTGTCAGTGGTGATATGGTCGAGTAATTCAGCTTGTCGCACAGCCTGTATACAATTTGAGACTACGTTTTTTTTTCCTCTTTTTCTTTTTTCATAATTATTGATGTTGTCAGTTAATGAACGCGAGTGGAAAGCAATTGCTTCTATTTGGTGAACATGATAGTAATGGCGTCGCACTAAGCCGGCAAGCACCCCAAAACACTCTGTGGTGTCGGAACAAGCGCAATAGTTTTGCTGATTCCGCAATATTACAGTGTGTTTTGCTCGCATCTCTTTTCTTTTTGACGTTCCACCGCTGTGAAAAGGTTCTTCCTGGCGCAGCCCCAAGCTAGAGTTGCTGGGTCAAGGTAATAATTATGTTCGTTTTTTGACGTTATACTGTTATGTGGTTTTTGCAATGCCGTATTGCCCAAGGATTCCTCCAGTGCTTGCCGTGCATAAGCTTTTTTTTTTGTAGCGATATATAATCTGCCTAAAAGCATGAAGTCTAATGGAACCAATTTTCGATGTCCGATTTTATTGGCCTTTAGTTATATCGAGATTCGACTGCAACAATTTGTTGTGTTATATGTAAAACACACGATGTGATCATTAGCCTCGCCTTAATCGGGAACTGCACATTAACTTTGGTCATCTGTGATTCTTTAACACCCACCTATATATAAGGGCCGAGCGATGGCCACCTTATTTGTTCGTAGCCTGTGTACTACGGCACATACCCACTCTCGAGGGGCGGCAAAGAAAAAATACAGTGACCTATGGAAGGTAACTGCAGCACTTCTTAACAACAAAAAAAATATTGTAAAACAAAGAAAATATTAGCAAAATACAGAACAAGAGAGTGAGATACAAGTTAAGAAAGGAACCTAAACTACTACGACAACTGAAATTTTATTTCTGGAGCTGACCAGACCACTGAGTTTACCAGAGCAGTGAAGTTTTGGATGTATGCCCTACTTTTCATCACCTTTTAAAATTACTTTACGAGTATTTTTTTCGAAATAAATTTTCCAGTTTTCGTTTACCGCTGCACATGCACTGGAGCAACAGAAATGACCGATATATGTAGTGCGCCTTTTTAGCCCTATGCGAGGAACAACGCGAGCGGAACATGGCGAAATGTGAGGCCGTGAATCAAGGCAGCACACTATTTTTTTTTTTTTTTGCAGTGGCACGCGGCAGAGAAGAGGCGAAGTGCCTAAAAACGACAGGTTGGCGGTCCACGCGCAAGGTTTGGAGTGCTGACATACGGCTCTACATCGGCGCAGTATAAATTAAAAATTGGCAGATCCCACGTACAGTGGGAATCGATGATATGCGATGCACGAATGAGAAATGTTGATATGTCACTTTAAAATCAGCACAGCGTTACGAGGTAGAGGTAAATAATGCTGTACATGACCTCCGTGCCATAATTATTATGTTTGAATGTGTCGTTTACTTTCGTCATCTATTCACGTCACGTGATACCAAATTTAGTATATAAGGAGCGAGCGAAACGGCCGTGAGCACGCAATGAGCGTGGTATGTTGTCATGTTCTTACATGACACGCGTGGGAGGATTATCATGCATTGCACCAGTCATATATTTCGTCATTCATTGACGTCACGTAACACCAAACTTGGTATACGTGGAGCTAGCAAAACGGCCACGAGCACAACATGAAGGGCCCAACATACTCCAATGTAGCGTTGACGCATGAGCACGCTGGGCACAGCAACGCTACGTCAGCAAAACGCGAGCACTATAGTCTAACGCCAGGCGCGACCAGCATCCGATGGCAACCAGCGCGATGCATTTTGCCCTGATGCGTTACCCAGACAACAATGTTTCTCCCTTTTTTCATGAAGAAGGGACGCCGGAAGCGCTGAAACGCGCATGCGTCAAAACAACGCAGCGCGGCGCGTGCCTGCGAGTATAAAGCAGGACCAGGCGTCTGGCGTGGCAACGCCGGCGTGACGCGACCAAAGGAACGCCTGTGAGCACGCGCACCGCGTCACGTCGAAATGTATTATCGCCTTGACTGTGGCATGTAGTCATGCTCTCACATGACAGGCATCTCATGATTATCATGTTGCACGAGTCACATACCTTCGTCATCCGTTGGCGTCACGTAATACCAAGTTTGGCATATGTGAAGCTAGCTAAATGGCCGTGAGCGCATCATCAATTTGGCATGTAGTCTTGTTGTTACATGACACGCATGTCGTGATTATCATATATGGATGTGCCATTTACCGATGTCGTCCGTTCGCGTCGCGTAATACAGTTTGGTACATGTGAAGCTAGCGACATGGCCGTGAGCGCATCATGAGCGTAGCATGTAGTCAGTGTTGTTACATGACACACATGCCATGATTTTCATGTTAGGGCCTGTCACCTGTGTTCGCCATGCACTCATTCCATACCATGCCAATTTCGCAACATACCTCGTGAACGAAACCACAGCAAGAGCTGCAGGACCATGAAGTGTAAATCATGACATTCATGACAGACATATCATGGTTTTCATGTCATGACTAGTCAAGTGTATTCTTCATACAGTCATGTTATACCATACCAAGGTTGGTATCAATACCATTATCGAAACGGCCAGGAGAGCTAATAGTCATAGGCGGATAGATAGATAGATAGATAGATAGATAGATAGATAGATAGATAGATAGATAGATAGATAGATAGATAGATAGATAGATAGATAGATAGATAGATAGATAGATAGATACGATCAAAGTCGCCGAAGTTGGCTAAGAAATGCTTCGCGTTTAAAACTGAACAAGTTGGTCATGATTCATACTTGGTTGATGCTCTCCGTTTTTTTTTTTGTTAGCTCTTTTGCATCAACCAGAACAGTAGTGTTGTTTAATTTCATATTAGGCGTTCTTTCTTCAAACACCTGAAGGATTACCGAGCAGTATGTATTACGCAACCAAAAAAATTGTAACTCGCATTTTGGAATGACCTCTACCATGTTACGAAGCGCACTTGGCTTTGTAGTTAATACTAAAATATTGCGTAAGCAATCTTAGTTAATTCATCGCTATAAAAATGCTTCGAAAAGCACTACACAAGCACGAGGGGGAGGGAAGAACACAACCTCAATTTCAAGGGTTGTGCCAGGCAGGTAGATGTAGCGGAGTGTCAATTTGTGGTCTGTATGCCAGGGCAAAACATTTTTTGTTTTGTTTTTTACGGAGGATGGAGTGATCGGAGTCAGTGTGCCACCCCCTGGCTATGCCACTGGCACTACGTGACGACAAACCATGAGTTAAACTAGAGAGTTTGAGCGGTGGTAAAACACTTATTGAAACCCTTGGCTCTCGTTACTTTAAACGCCCGGCATAAACAAAACAAGAGAAAAAAATCAATAGTGGCGGCTGTGCAAGTCTCTGTGACCTAAGGATAATGATGGTAATAGCAGGGCGCGATATTTCAGATGTAGCCTTAGTTATCGGTTAATCGCTCGCAGCTTGCGTTATTCGTGCGCAGGTGCCAATAACACTCGGGTGGCATGAATATCACATGAGGCAGGTTACTACCTCGTGATAGAGCAGCCATGACATCATCGAAACTTGAGTACGTAAAGACGCAGTGTCCATGACGTCGCGGGTAACCAATCAATAATTCCACTTGTGTGTGTGTGGTGAGGGGGGGGGGATTCGTCGGGAGACATTGTGGCTCGCCCCCGCACACCGGCTCTGTTATGTCACGTAGAGCTGTCGAGCCGAGAGGTCAGATTGCTCTGGGAAGCCACACCGGGTTTTATGGGCTTGCTCGAGCACGCCGAGGGACTGCGCAGACAGAAGGGCAGCTCGAGGCCGTCAGCCAGCAGCCTTTACGCACTAGTAGCAACTCAAGACGTTTAGAGAGAAAGAGAAAGAGAGGGGGGGCAGCAAGGTAGATGTGGACGAAGCTACGGAGAAGACACTGCTACTGCAGCCGTACAGAGGACCTTGTGGCAAGCACTCTTTCTCACCACCCATCTCTCTCTGTCTCCCTCTGGTATTTGTTTGCTTCTTACCGGGGACGAAGCATTTCCTTGAAAAGCCCGAAGGGTACGTGGCCGGTATTGTTGCTGCACCTTACAGTGCAAGCGGTAAGCGCAAACAATTGGATATTTCGGGAAAAGCGCACTTAGACTGGTTTCCGGAAGAGGAAACCTTCTTTGTGACGACCCGAATAATGTTGCGGCAAATTTTCGGAGTGGCAAGAACCAACGCAGGTGGGGCGCGTCCATCATGATCTCAGGTGCCCGTGGTGTTTTCGGCCTGGGTTGGAGAATGCGACGCGTTGCCTCTACGACCAGAGCAACGGGGGGCAAAAATCGGGCGGGAATATTTCGTCACGTGACTTGGTTGGACTCGCCGACGTGCCAGGAAAGGCTCAGTGCGCTGAACGTTCTCTCGACGACCGGAGCAACTTTTGTCCGCAGCAGTCTCCAACCCATCGGACGACGCCTGCTTCTGTCTCACGAAGGTGCCTCCTCAAGGTATGTGCCGTTTGGTGCCATGTTCTTCCTTCGCGACGACAATATTCGAGGCAGTGTTACGTGTGCCATTGGCACTCTTTCTTACTGCATATGCATTCGGCGTGTAGGACAGAAAGAAAAAAAGAGAGAGAGCGGAGAGATATTGTAAACAATCAATGCCTCACTACTTCCGAGGCACAACGGAGAAGGGGGGGGGGGGGGGGGGTGGCTGTGATGAAAGTGCTGCTCTAAACTGCTCCCAAAGAGAAATGCTGATTCATGCCTCTCCTAACAGCAATATCTGTTTAGTTATTGCTTAAAATCTGCTCCGAAGTAGCGTTTCGAAAATAAGAGTGATGAACATATACCGTTTAACCAGCTCATAAGTGTTGAAAAAAGAGAAACTGAAAGGAAGCTGTATGCTACCATCCCAGAATGTTAGTGTGCAGCATGATCGGCTATGATTTCATTTGTGTGGCTGACACTGGCATATTAAGCATATAGCTCATTTGACTTTTTCGCCTGGCTTGAATTGCACGCTAGTGTGGTGAAGTGTGAAAATGAGCGGGAATTGCTTTTATATCACACCGATTATCTACTGCTTATTTGGCGACAGTTATGTGACTTTGTGGTTACATCTAAAGTGTGATGCTCAGATCTACCAGTTGAATTTGATTTCTGCTTCAAACACTCGTATTTTAATTATATATGGCTCATTTCACAGCGCCTTTTTGACAACCAGCCATCCTTTCATTGTTTGCTTCTTGAAATTTACTTAGATTATGGTCAATGAAATATATTTTATCATGAATAATAACATTTGTGGGATTCTTCGATGACGCTTTCAACTACAATTGGTGTATGGCGAATTTTGTATCTGCTCCTAAACCACCTAAAGCTGCTCCAAAAATAACATTTTTACTGCTCCGAGAACACTTACGGATGCTCCGAAAAGAACTTTTCATGCTCCAAAATATGCTCCAAGAAGTAAAAAGCTACTTCCATCACTGCGGAGAGCCAGGCAGGCCTGCCTCCGCGTAGCAGGACTTCCGGGATATATGTTTACGTTGAGTGTCACTGCCTTCGATGTAACTATTACGAGTGACTATTGCTCTTATGGTCGATTGTGTGTACGCCTACGGAGTTTTTCGTTTATTTTTAGTTTATTTATTAGGAGATTTTCAGGCAACGATAAAACTAGACTTTCCCGCTCGTTGCAACTTAGGACTCAGCCTGAAATCATCATAATCTAGTGGCATGGCGTCCCTGATTGTGCATTCACTCACATGCGAAAGACCACCTCCAGTTACTAGTTAGTGTGACACGCAAGACGTCAGTGACCCTCCACGGTGGTCTCCCCCGAAGGTCGCGGGATCGAATACCGGTCGCGGCTGTTGCATTTTCAGGGGAGGTGAAAATGCTTGAGGCACGTGTGCTTTAGTTTTACATGCGCGTTAATGACACATACATTTGGTCAGAAGGGGCCTATAATCCACACAGTAATGAAAATAACATGCTATAGGTGAGATACATTACCAATTTTTTTCCTGTTGCGGCCGAATTAGCATTTTCAAATAGTGTTTAAACGTAACAGAACTGGCATGTTGAGCAGCCCAGCATAAAAGCCTTGAAGCTGGACATATGGAGTCGGTCGCTTTGCTGTACGTAGTCGTGTAGTATGAATAGTTTGATGCTGTCATGCGCACCATAAACAATCCTTAAAGTATGAATATATATCCATCGATCACCGTTCTATGTCGTGCTGCTTACGAGGTAAAAGGAGTTGCACGGTGGAAATTGGCACTGCCTTCGAGGTGGCCAGTTGAACATACCGAGCCATGGCATACGCTCGCAGAGTCAACCCTTGCAGAGCACACCGTGGGCTCGAAAAAGAACCGCTGTCGCGCTCACTGTTCGCATGATGGGTGGTCACTTATCTGCAAGACTTTATATACGTCAAAGACACACAAATTCTAGTTTGATATTCGTCAAATACACGCAAATTCCGGTAAATGGTGTTTTCTAAGCTACCATTCCGCGATTAGACACTAGGGACATTTAGCTCCTACGTTTGCTGCTCATAATTGATTTGAGTACAGGGGTTTAACATCCAAAAGCCACCGTATGCTTATGAAAAATGCCGTAATGGAGGACTCTGGGAATTTCGACCGCCTGGGTTTCCCCCCAATTTGAGCACTGGGCCTACAGCATTTTCGCCTCCATCGAAAATACAGCCGCCGCAGCTAGGATTCGATCCCGTGGCCTTCGGGTCTGCAGACGAGTACCTTTAGCCACTAGACCACATGGCCGGGACGTATACTGTTCAACCTTGCCGTATTACCGGAATACGGGATTCCATTTACCATGTGACCGAAGCTCTTGTTTTACAAAAGTTTTAGCTCCCCGTACGCAAACGTTTGCGCACCTACGTTTGCGCAAACCACAAAATAATGATATTTACTGCATTTAGAGTAACGTAATTTATTGATCTTGATATGCAATATATTATGTTCCTCATTAGTGCTGAGATTTTTTGTATTTTGGTATGAATGGCCATTATTGTTGCAGCTAAGTCATGACTCATGAAATGCTTTTAGCGTGTACAGTGTAGTGGAAAAATACCGGGCGACCGGACAATGGTGTCGACATCTTCGGAAGCTTTATGCAAGCACATTCATGAACACGTTTGTTATCGCCTAGTGTTTATGACGGAAAATGATGAAAAATGCAAGTCATACGTAATTGCGCCACTGCAACGCATATACACCAGAAGTAGAATGCAGAATATTTCTGCAATAACAATTTTATGCTTACCTGGTTCATCCTGACTATGCTAGATGGTGCCACCTGTCTAACCAGGGGGAGGGGGGTGCTTTGGGCCTCTTGCCTTCACGGCTTTGGGTTGCAGAAATTAGGTGCCTTATCTCATCTTCTAACCACTACCACCACCCTATTTTGAAGAGTGGAAACTTGGGAAAGTTGGTAGAACATAACTTGAATGTACATACAGCGCAAGCTTGAAGTAGTTATAGCGTAAATACAGACGCATGAATGGGTTCCACTCAGCGAACTCTCGTTTCCTCTCCGTACTGCTTTAGGTCTTTTTAGCACAGCGTTGCGGTGTAGTCTTTCGGTGACGCTGAAATCGTTCGCGACACCCCTTGGACTTGAATTTGCGTCGCGCTAGCCCTCAATCCTACCTGCAGCTACGCCAACACTCGCAAGCACGACTGCGCTGCTGCACTCACCGGCGCATCTGACTACAACATGCCCACAGTGCATTGCACCGCCGCCGCCGTCCGAGCAAGCTTCCTATAGCTTGGTCAAGCCGGATGAAACCATTCATTGAAATTCGCACTAGCACTAAGGCTTAGTTTGACTCGATGGCTGTAACCTTTGCAAATCGCATGTCACGCGTAGCCACGACTGAAGGTGGACTTGTGAGGTAGAGCCGTAAACGTAAAGCCTATCCGACGAGCAGTCTACGTTGCATAAACAGTCTACGTTTCGTAAAGGCCCGTGCATGCGCAGATTTCTTTCGCTATCCGGTCACGTAAAGAAGTATGCGCATGAGCCAAATCCCCTGCTCTCACCGGTAAAGCCGCTAAGCTTTCCGTAGCGCTAAAGAAAACGGGCGTGATACATGACATGCATGTAACGTCATCAGTGATGTGGTCTTAGTGCGATGACTTTATTAGACAGTTTGCTGCAGGATAACGCCTTTGCCTTAACCTCCTGTATCACGCTAGCGGTAAACTATAACTAGAGAGTTATAGTTTACTGTTTGCGCGATAGCGGGATTTAAAGGGGCCCTGCAACGCTTTTTCAAGTGACCACGGAATGAATTCACTGGAAAAGCTTATTGCCACGTGAATTCAACGTGCAAAACATTTAAGAATCCGTCCAGTGCGAGTGAAGTTACAAAGGTTTGTCGCATGCTGCAATTGCATTCTCTCTTTTCTCGTCCCGACGAAAGCGCTCGAAGCTAAACAGGATAGGATGGCAAGGCCACAGAAAAACGTCACACGCGCCTAGTGGCCTTGAGCACTTTTTTTCTTTTTTTTTCTTCGAATGTGCCGCATTTTCGGGGTGATCGCGTGCGCACGCGTGGACAAGTCGTGGCCTCCCGTGGCGATCTCTGTAACGGGCGAGCGCGCCATGTTCAAATCAGCCAATGGCTGATATGTCGGGAATTCACGTGTGTTTTTTGGACATAATCCGCCGTTTGTTGAGAGAAGAGAAATCAATTTTTAGTTGACTTTGATAATTTATTGTGAAATCCTGGCCACGTGCTGTGCTATAATATTTGGCTCGCGTGTTGTTGGGAGCCTTTGCTACCGACTAGCAGCGTTTTCTGACCATGCTCAAAAAGTCTTGCAGGGCCCCTTTAAAGGAATAGTGTTACCGCGCAGTAAACAATCTTTGTAGACAGCGTTTCATAGTTCAGCGAGATAGCGTTTACATAGTTTTTGTGCCCCGGTTTAAATGGCGGCGCCACCTATTGGAGGGTTGATAAGCTAAATTAGAGTGAAAAAGAAGTGAAAACGAGAATGTTTACCCGTGTCACCGCGTGAAGCATTGTTAGAAGTTAATATTAGTAACAATAGAAGTAAATAAATATGAAACCACGCACCAAACGCGAAACCACTTATGTTGCCGACTACGTTTACATATGTCTCTAGTTAGGCCTAGAGACGTTCAAAATGGGAAGCTATTTCGAAAAGTACGCTAGCTTATCCGTAATACTCGTTCATCTAAGGTAAGTGAAGGCAAGCGAAGTCATTGTAAACGGCCGTTTGATGTGAACGAACTGAATGTTTCAACAACTATGCCAAGATCACTTCGAAGCGGGCGTCCAAAAGCGCCGCCATGCTTACGTACACTACGCTAACACAGTAACGTTAAATCTGAAAAAATAGAGTGCGTACGAAAAGTATACGAGTAAAGTTCGTATCTGCGCATGCGCACTTCTATCCTGCTATCCGGGTAAGCCCACTATCCCGCTATGCACAGTATAGTAT